GCAAGGCTGAGCCTGGGAAGAAGAGTAGGGTGGGGGGAAGGGGTTTTGTGCTCTGGGTTTGTCTCTCATTATCCTGCTCTGATTTTATCGGTAACAAATTAAATTGATTTTTCTTCCCCAAGTCAAGTCTGTTTTGCCCGTGACCATAACTGATATTTTCTCCTCCCCATCCCACTGGGGGAAGAAGTGAGCGAGCGGCTGTGTGGTGCTCCGTTGCTGGCTGGGCCTAAACCACGACAATGCCTTTCTGAGCCCTGCCGTCATCTCAGGGCTACTCTGATGAGCTGTCCCCACATGATGAAATATTGTGGAGCTGTATATCGCTGTGGTTTGTGTCACCCTATTCCTTTGCATAGGGTAAATACACCCTTGTCACACCTGGCAAAGGGAGAAGTCTTTCATGCCTCCTGAGAAGGAGGACCAGGATAGATGCAACGCAGCCTGCAAAGTCCTGGGAAGTCACAAGGAAGGGACCAGACAAAAGTGATCTCAGAGGGACACCTGGCTATTCACTTTTGTCCCCAGTGCCACGTAGGAGTGCTGTTGCCAAAGCGTTACCTGCTGCACAGGCTGTGAAGACGGTGTGTTGTGCCAGAAAGGGAGCGTGCTGTTGAGTTACCGCAGCCGAGGCCTGGGCAAGGTGTTTCTGCCGTCCACTCCAGCTGGGGACGCGTTGGGTACATCTCAGTTGACACTTAGGTATTGTGCAAGCTTGTTCTTCCTTGGTCTGAGCCTCCATCTCCGTACTGCCTTAAAGCCCACACTGTGGCTTTCAGTATTGCACTCAGATGGAAAGCAAAGCCCACCCGGGACTCAGTCTGTGGATGACTTGTCTCTCAGTCAGGGCTTCTGGGGAACAAAGAAGGTCATCATGTGAAATACAGACAGGAGAGCTGCTAAAAAAGGTGATTTATGAGGTTGGAGCCTAGAGCGGTTTGTGCTTGGAGGTGAGTTTCAAGTCGAGTAGGGCAGGGTCGTGACTGCTGAGGTCAGGAGACCTACTGAGGAAGTGTGCAGTGTTGAGGAAGGCTTACAACTTGTGGTGTGCCCATCCGGATGGGAGAACGTCTGCTGGAATGCCAGCCAGGCCACCTGGAAATGGGTGGAGAGACCTTCTGCTTCAACAGCAGGGTGTGATCCTGACTGTGAATGGGGACACAGTATGCCTCTTCCAGCCCTTGGAAGAGAGCAGAACTGGGATTGCTGAGCTAAGGGCCGCACATCCACACGGTACCAGGCGCACGGGAACCTCTCTTCTCTCCCAGCCGCCCGTGGCGGTATTCTCTGCTACCCGTCCTGCACAGGCCAGGTTTGAGGGACTCAGTGCTGGGCCAGATGGGCCCTATTAGCGTAGTCATTTTTTTGTCAGGCTGATCCTCTCGCCAGAGAAGTCAAGGCTTGTGTTTCTGGTTCAGCTGCCAGAGCCTCAGGAGAGCATCGGAACTGCTGGAGATGGCCGTGGTGCCAGAGGAGCTCCCGATGGACGCTCACCCAGCGTGCTGCTTTGTCCCACGCCGGTGTCGGGTGGTATGGGATGGTCCCTCTGCTAGGGACACCCGTGTGAGTGGAAAGAGGAGCAGATGTGGGTACTCGAGCAGTTATTTAAAGAGACGGGTCTGGCTGCAGGAGCAGGGTTTTGGTTCAGGATGCTGTGCCCAGCACTTTGCCATGATCATTATATTGACCGTCACTGACCCTGAGCTCATTTCCCTCATACAATTTCCCAAACTGACCCCTCCTTAAACCCTGATGATGCCTTGTTTAGCAGAGTGGTGGGCCTCAACCCGCTCCCAAGGTACACTGGCATCTCAGGGACCGGACAGGAGCAGGACTGTATGCACCGGGATGTGAACCAAGACCTTCCAAAATGCATGGAGTTTAGTGTCCACAAGCTACGGGAAGGAAAAACCACGGAAGCACGGGCCTTCGTCACTCCTGTTTGTGCGAGGGTGATGGTGGAGGAGCAGACGTGACACCGGTGGTGGCCCACACCTGCTGCCACAACTGCCTGGGGCTGTGTCCCCACTCCGGGGGAGAGATGGGGGGAGGTTGTGGGTGAAGGTTCCCCCCGGCTCACAGGTGTTGTCGCCGCCGTTGTCGCCACCTGTGTCAGTAACGACGTGATGCTGGTGTGACTGCTACCGAGAAACCCCCTCCTCCAGCACCGCGTGTCCTTGGGGGGGGTTCTGCCACGGGGAGCCCTTCCCCCAGCCCCGTGCAGCTCTCCGCCTCTCCCCAGAATGCCTGGTGCGTACGGATGAGCCTGGATCACAGCCAGCGGCAGGCGGTGGAGCTCCCAGGCCCTTTTA